TTGAAAACTTAAATAAGAAATGAAAACTTAAATTAAACTAAAATGAGAAATGTTTTGTTGGCTAACATTACCAAAACTAAAACTGAAATTTTATATATATATATATATATATATATATTATTTTTTTTTTAAACAAAACATACATACATACATACTGTATATGTATATAAACAAAAACAAATAAAAATGACAAAAGCAAATAACAAAACTAAATTTAAACTGAAAATGTATAAATAAAAAAAACATAAAAATCCAAATGACTCTAAAGCACAAAACATCACTAAGCGTAAAGGTCACTGCAAATGATGACCCAGGAACAGATGTGGCTTAAACATGAAACAGCAGTGAAATGACGGGATGGTGATGTGTTTGGGGAGTTTTCTGGCCGTGTTAGACTCGTTGTTTCTGAGCATGAATGCGTGACCAAGCGGTCGAGCTCGTACCTCCAGCAGGAAGTCAGAGGAGTCGTGGACGAGCATCACCAGGGTCCCGATCCGAATGTAGTTGGAGCAGTACGAGAAACTCAGCAAGAAGATAGTGGCGAAGTGGTGGACGATCTGTTCTTTGAAATCCTAAAACAGAATTAACGGAAGAGGACGAAAGAATATAAGTAACTGATATTATAGTGGGCGGTACTGACAGGAAATGAAACCTGATACAAACAAACAACAAATCCATCAAGACAATGGATGATGATGTGCTGACACACTCAAGGAAGAAAATCACACATTAAATTTCTCCAACATTCAAGCATTTAAAGGAACAGTACACTCAAAAATGAACATTCCATCACTTGCTCACTAATAGCAGTGAATGGGTGCCGTAGGGCTGTGCGATATATATAATCTACGACAATATCGTAATTGTTGTTTAAACGATATGTGACCCTGCAGCACAAAACCAGTCATAAGGGTCAATTTTTTTAAATTGAGATTTATGCATCATCTGAAAGCTTTCCATTGATGTATGGTTTGTTAGGATCGGACAATATTTGGCTGAGATACAACTATTTGAAAATCTGGAATCTGACGGTGCAAAAAAATCTAAATATTGAGAAAATCATCTTTAAAGTTGTCCAGATGAAGTTCTTAGCAATGCATATTACTAATCAAAAATGAAGTTTTGCTATATTTACGGTAGGAAATTTACAAAATGTCTTCATGGAACATGATCTTTACTTAATATCCTAATGATTTTTGGCATAAAAGAAAAATCTATAATTTTGACCCATACAATGTATTTTTGGCTATTGCTACAAGTATACACATGCTACTTATGACTGGTTTTGTGCTGCACGGTCACATACATAATTTGACATTATGGAGCATATCACAAAAACCAAACAAAAACACACACCCAGAGAGTGCACGCATGCACTCTATTAAAAGTCTATTAAAATACATTTAGATTTGATCTGAGCTGCTCCACATTTGTTTTATAGCTCTATACTCTTAATGGATGACATTTTCTGGATTTTTTTTCTCATTTTGTCTCTCATAGTTGAGGTATACCTATGATGAAAATTACAGGCCTCTCTCATCTTTTTAAGTGGGAGAACTTGCACAATTGGTGGCTGACTAAATACTTTTTTTCCCCACTGTACATGATTTGACATTATGGAGCATATCGCAAAAACCAAACAAAAACACACACCCAGAGAGTGCACACATGCACTCTATTAAAAGTCTATTAAAATACATTTAGATTTGATCTGAGCTGCTCCACATTTGTTTTATAGCTCTATACTCTTAATGGATGACAGCTATTGACTCGGTTTCTTCTCCAAAGGAAGAACTAAAAATAAAAGTGTGATATTTAAATGAAATGAAAGTCTCCGCTGAGCAATAATATGTTACTTGATATTCGTATGAAAACATTATGTTAAAATATTAAACTGAAGATTCATGTTAATACATTTTAACATATATTTAACCTTATTTTGATAGCCGACAAGTGAGCAGCTAGCAAAGTAAATAACTGAGCAGCTCTAAAAGGACATTCGCTTTGAAAGAGAAACTCTGACCCGGTAACACACAAAGGGTTTTACGCTACACAAGGTCATCATGAAACATTCAGAAAGCAAATAGCTCTGCTGTGGGCCACTATTGTGCGAGATCTTACTTTTCTCTTGACGTCCACAGACACACAGAGCAGCAGAGACCAGTAGAAGCCCAGCTCAAGCATGTAGTACCAGTAATGAGCGTCCTGAACCGGCTAGAGACACAAACACAGGACCTGAGTGAAAACAGGGCTCACAGCAGAGAACATGGACACTTCATGTACTGAAAGTACAACCATAAACACATAATAATAATAATAATAATAATAATAATCATATTTAGTTGCTTGAAATAAAATCAACTGACTTAAATAAAAAAATCTAATGAAATGAAATAAAACAAAATATAAAAAATTGAACATTTCTCATTTTAATTTAGTTTAATTTTAATTTAAGTTCTAAAATGAATAAAACTAAAACTGAAATAAAAATTAATAAAAACTACATCGACATATTAATAAAACTAACAAAAATGAACAAAACACACAAAAAATAATTTTTTTTTTACTAAAATGTAAATTTAAATGGAAAACATAAAAAATTCAAAATTAATCAACAATCATTTCAAGAATTGTAGACGAAGCATTTTTTAAATCGTGGGAAATATAAATTCTACTTTTGACTGATATTGTAAATATTTTGTCAAAACCAGTATCCATATGAAGAAATGTTGTTGTTTTCCTTGATATTACAGGTAGATTGTTCTAATAACACTAAAATATGTCTCATATTTATCACTGTCATATTATGAAACCTACAGTATGAGTCAGATAAAATACTGTACAAAATTATTTTGAAAGAAGTCTCTACTGCTCACCAGGGCTGCATTTATTTGATCAAAAACAGTAAAAACAGTAAAACTGTGAAATATTATTACAATTTAAAACAGCTGATTTCTATGTGAATATCTGTTAAACTGTCATTTATTTCTGAGATCAAACCTGAATTTTCAGCATCATTCCTCCAGTCTTCAGTGTCACATGATCTTCAGAAATCATTCTAATATTGTCACGAATCCTGTCCATGGACTTCCGTTCAATCACCACCAGAGGTCACCCTTTCCATTTTCATTGACTCTCGCACTACACACTGCATAGCACCCCGGACTACATATCCCATCATTCATTGCACTGATTGCACACCGCACTGATTGCACACAGCTATTTCATATCACTCACTCACTATATAACACTCACTCAAACAACCATTCTCTGCCGAGTATTGCTTAGCCGGTTATTATTCCTAGTTTCTGTTTTCCTGCCCGTGTTTCCTTGTTTTGCCTTGCCTTGCCTTGCTTGTTTTCTCAGTTTCTGATCTTTGCCTGTTTTCCTGGATTTATCCCTCTAGTCGCGCCCCTGTGATTCTGTCTGCCGATCGTTGACCTACGCTAGCCCTAGGACTATTCTTGTGTTTTGCCCGCCATATACCTGTTTGCCATTGTTCGACCCTGCCTGTTATGACCACGTCTCTTAAATAAAAGCTTGCAGATGGATCCACACGTCTCACGTCTCGTCAGCCCCGTAACAGAATACTCGGTCTCACGAGGATCCAGCGGCTTTCCTAAAGGACCTTGGCCAAGTATGGACCCAGTCGACCGGCTATTCGATTTATGACAGGGGAGTTCACCTATTGAGGAATACGTCACTCAATTCTGTGAGTTATCTTTTAGGGTACCTTTTGATGAGGTCGCATTAAAGGACATTTTTTGTTATGGACTAAATGAATCCATAAGATCATGGATGCCAGAGGGTAAATTTAATTGTAGTTTAAAGGACTTTATAGAATATGCTTTGCTGACTGCTGGTTCACTGCGGGTATCGCGGAGGAACACGACCCCGCACTCACTCGTGTAATGGCGGCCGCACTAGAGCATGCTCACAAAATGGCGGCGACAGCGGAGCCTGATTGCAAAATGGCGGACACAACAATGCCCCGTTATGTCACAGCCGATCTTCATGAATCAAGTCAAGTTACCGTTGATCATGAGTCTAGTCAAGTCACAACTGATCTTCATGAGGCAAGTCTAGTCCCAACTGATTGTCATGAGTCAAGTTTAGTCACAGCTGATTTTCATGAGTCCAATCCAGTCACGGCTGATCTCCCTGAGTTCAGTCAAGTCACGGTTGATCATCATGAGTCCGGTCAAGTCACAGTTCATTATTATGAGTCTAGTCAAGTCACAACAAATCTTCCTGAGTCCAGTCTAGTCACAGTTGATCTTCCTGAGTCCAGTCTAGTCACGGTTGATCTTCAGGAGTCAAGTCTCAGCTGATCTGCCAGAGTCTTGTAACGTCTCAGCTGTTTGTCCCGAGTCACGTCACATCACAGCTGATCATCCAGAGTCACGTCACATCACGTCTGTTCGCTCAGAATCCTGTCACTTCCTGTCTGTTGCACCCAGATCCTCAAGGACTGTTCTTCAGTATCCCAGACTGGCTTCCAGCGTGGAGGACCCACTGCTGGTGTTAGCACGTGCAGCTGGCATCCCTAAATCAGTGCGCTCAAGCCCTCCAGTTTCGGAACTATTTCCCCTGTCTGTAGCGCGTCCCACAATGGGGATCGCTTTATGGTGAAGTTGGGCTGCGTACACCACCACTGAAACTTTTGAGATAGCGGCGGCCACTGCGATGTCTTCCGAGGTGGCGGCTGACGCTGCAGATCCTTCTGAGGTAGAGGCGCACGCTGCCATGTTCCCCGAGGCAATGTCACCCGCTGTAGCTCCTCCAGAGGTGGCGGTGCTCGCCTCAGAGCACGTGCAGCTGGCATCCCTAAATCAGTGCTCTCAAGCCCTCCAGTTTCGGAACTATTTCCCCTGTCTGTAGCGCGTCCCACAATGGGGATCGCTTTATGGTGAAGTTGGGCTGCGTACACCACCACTGAAACTTTTGAGATAGCGGCGGCCACTGCGATGTCTTCCGAGGTGGCGGCTGACGCTGCAGATCCTTCTGAGGTAGAGGCGCACGCTGCCATGTTCCCCGAGGCAATGTCACCCGCTGTAGCTCCTCCAGAGGTGGCGGTGCTCGCCTCAGCTCCTTGCACGGTGGTGGCGCCCAGTAACGCACATTCTGCCTGTCCTGTCCCGGCTATGGAGGCCGTCTGTGAATCCTAGTCCCGTCCTATCACGGCTATGGAGGCCGTTTGCGAACTCTCTGCTCATCCTGTCCCAGCTATAGAGGCTGGTTGCGAACTCCCTGCTTGTCCTGTCACGCATATGAAGGCCGTCTGTGAACTCTTGTCCCGTCCTGTCACGGCTATGGAGGCCGTCGGTGAACTCTCTGCCTATCCTGTCACGGCTAAGAAGGCCGTCTGTGAATCCTCGTCCTGCCCTGTCACGGCTATGGAGGCCGTCTGTGAACCCTCTGCCCGTCCTGTCACGGCTATGGAGGCCGTCGGGGAATCCTCACCCTGTCCTGTCATGGCTATGGAGGCCGTTAGTGAATTCTTTGCTTGCTTTGTTTTGGCCAGGGAGGTCGTTTGTGAACTTTTGCCCTGTCCCGGCCCAGCCAAGGAGGCTGCCTCTGAACACTCAGCCTTGTCTGTGTCTGTGTCTGTGTCTGTTCTGTCTGTGTTGTCTGTCTCTGCTTTCTCGTTGTTACAGTCTCCGCCATGGTCTCCTGATCGGTGTGGTTCACCGGGGGGATTTCCTGTTCCTTCTGCATCGCCGTGGTGGTCCGCTGCTCTGCCGTGGTGGTCTTCTGCTCTGCCATGGTGGTCTGCTGTCTGGCCGTGGTGGTCTTCTGCTCCGCCATGGTGGTGTGCTGTCTGGCCGTGGTGGTCTTCTGCTCTGCCGTGGTGGTTCTCTGCTCCACCGTGGTGGTCTACTGTCTGGCCCTGGTGGTCCTCTGCTCCGCCATGGTGGTCTACTGTCTGGCTCTGGTGGTCCTCTGCTCCGCTGTGGTGGTCTACTGTTTGGCTCTGGGGGTCCTTTGCTCCGCCGTGGTGGTCTACTGTCTGGCTCTGGTGGTC